ACCACAGGCATTTTGTACACATTTATTCATCACTGACAGATAAATATGTTTCTGTGTTACAGTTGAGGACACATGCTTAGAGAGATTAAATAATTTGCTCAGTGCAAATGATTAATACCAGCTGGATGTATGTAGTATTCAGCCTGGACTAAAACCAAGTATTCTCTAAATCCAAATTTCATAAGGAAAAGCAGTGCAAAAGACAGTCTTGCATTAAAAAAGCTTTAATTTCAACAACAAAAAATCAGTGCTTGTAGGGGTAGGAGACAGGGAGAGATGAATGGGCAGAGCACAGAAGCAGTGAAAATACTTCATATATTATAATGATGGATATATGTCATTATATACTTTTCCAAATCCAGAGAATGTACACCACCAAGAATGAACACTACGTAAACTATGGACTTGGGGTGATGATGTATCAGTATAGGTTCTGATGTAACAACTGTACCTCTCAGGTGGGGGTTGCTGACAGTGGGGAAGGCTGTGTGTGAGTGCTGGGGGCAGGGACCAGGAGCTATATGGGAAATCTCTGGATCTTCCTCTTAATATTCATTGTGAGCCTAAAACAAAACATATAGAAACTCCACACATCAGTGTTCCAGCTCAGTCATTCCAATCATTCAGAAAAGTTTCAGCTTGGTCCATCAAATGCTGTACCTGAATTTGTCTATACCAAATCATTGTCCATCTGTTTCTCTCTCTTAAAATGAAAGTAGCTTTTTTTCTAGAGATAAAAATGACATTTTCTAATTACTGAAATAGTATATAGGTATATGAAATATTTTTAAAAAGTAAAAATTACCTTCATCTCTTCACTTCAAAATCAGCAATATTTTTGAATTTATTTAATTATTGCTCAAGTACACTTTTCTCAATAACAGCAAATGAAATTGAAGCAGTAATCAAAAAACTCCCGAAGCACAAAAGCCCTGGACCAGATGGTTTCACAGGAGAATTCTACAAAGCATTTAAGGAAGAGCTAACCCATATTCTTCACAGACTATTCCAAAAAATCCAAAAGGATGGAAAACTCCCAAACTCTTTTTATGAAGCCAGAATCATCCTAATTCCAAAACCAGATAAAGATACAACAAAGAAAGAAAACTTCAGGCCGATATCACTGAAGAACATAGATGCTAAAATCCTCAACAAAATATTGGCAAACTGCATCCAACAATACATTAAAAATATCATCCACCATGACCAAGTGGGATTCATCCCAGGCATGCAAGGATGGTTCAGTATTCACAAATCAGTAAATGTAATACATCATATTACATTTACTGATTTGCGAATATTGAAGCGAAGACAAAAATCACATGATCATATCAATAGATGCAGAAAAAGTTTTTGATAAGGTACAACACCCATTTATGATAAAAATACTCAGCAAAGTGGGAATAGAGGGAGCATTCCTCAACATAATAAAGGCCATATATGAGAGACCTACAGCCAAATCATACTCAATGGGCAAAAACTAAAATCTTTTCCACTAAGATTTGGAAAATCAGCAATCTTAACATCTACTGAATATTGATCCTGCTATCTAGGCAGATTAAATAGATGATACATAGATGATTAATAGATGATTGACAAGAGGTTTATATAAATGATATTATAGTATAGATTCTGTCATATAGCATGCTTTTCTATTCAACAGTTTGGGTTGACATTCCCTGTCAATACATCTAATTTTATATCATCATTATAAAAGTAAAATTGATTCATACAACAGAGCTGAACAGTAGGTTGTGGTTTGGCATTTCTCTCTCTCTCTCTTCCCTCCCCCCATAGGTAATTAAAAGAAGGACATGTAAATGAAGGCCTCCTCCTCACTCTCAACTAAAAAATAAAAACTATTCTGGGGATAAGTATTTTGAGTTTTAGTGGTGTGAGATGTTAGAAAGAAAGGAAGTGTTTTGAGAATTATCTTCATGTTCATCTCTCCTCAGAACTGATTGATGGATGAACTCCCAGAATCTAACAGAGGAGCAGTGTGTTGTTTGTCATCATTACTTTTCCCCTTAAGAATGTATCCGTTCTTCCATTAGGATGGCACTCTGTCCCCTTAGGGAAAGTGCCATCAATGAAGACCTAAGAAATATCTGGGAGCAGGAGACTTATTTAGTTCAGTAGGAAATGGTTATCTTTTATGATTCACCCCAAAACCTGCATTCCCTGGACAGAGTTGGGCAGTGTCTTGACTGGCATCCCAGCTCCTAGTACCTCCCTCTGCTTTTCAAGCCTGACTTCTGTGATCTCTTTCTCACTCTTAAGTCTTCTTTGGACTTAAAAATGGAGACATTTTATTTTGTAAATAAAAAGATTTCAATTACTATTATTTTTTAAATACACTCAGGAAATAATTATTCTGTAATCTTTTGAGACACACAATAACCTGCCGTGCAACCAGTGGGGAAACTGGTGATGTTAATTCTAAAGGGTGAAATACCATGAAGCTGTCCAAAGTGAAAGCCTCTGCCTTCTGCACCAAGGGCACATGCTCTTTGTGTTTATATACCATGTCTTTTACCAGAGAACACAAAGAATTTGCACAAGAGTTTATTTTAACACTCATTATCATAAGGAAGAAGAGGTACTTCCTTATGTGAAAAATACTTGGTCCTGCAAGGAAAGTCAACTTATTTCATTTTAACTCCATCACAAAAAAAAACAGGATGATCACTTAAGAAGTGGGCACCAACCACCTCACCTTCCCAGACCACTGGCCTAGAGTTTTAACTAACCTCATGTCTTTCAGCATCAGGTTAATATTGACATTTTCACTTTCAGACTGTTGGGAAACTTGCACGGGGTCACATAGTTACAAAGGGTGCAGCCAGGACTCAAACTGAACATGGCAGGCCTTGCAGGCATGTTCTTGACCTTATTCCACATTGTGTGAGAGCACAGACACCATGGGGGCTAGGGCAGAAATGCCCCCCACATGTTCCTGCTCTGTCCTTGGGACCAACAGGAATCCAGACTACAGATCCTGCACTTCCGGGGACAGTGACTTGTACTCTGTGGTCAGGACTGCATGGTAGCTTCAGGAGAAGCACTCCACTAGCCCTTGGTGAGTTCTCATGTAACTCCTTCCCCCCACCCCTGCCCCCCGCCATTATTTCTATCCCTCAAGGGGAGTTGAGGAGAAAGAGTTCTGGATTCTGAACTGGATTCTGTTCTGGATTCTGGACTGGAGCTGAAGAACAGGGCTCTCAGGCACCTGGAGTCCTAAGCTTTTTAAAAAATGAAATACAGCCCTGGCTGGTGTGGCTCAGTGGATTGAGCACAGGCCTGCAAACCAGATCATCACCAGTGTGATTCCCAGTCAGGACACATACCTGGGTTTCAGGCCAAGTCATGTCCCCAGTGGGGGGCATGCAATAGGCAACCACACATTAATGTTTCTCTCCCCGTCTTTCTCTCTCCCTTCTCCTGTGTCTAAAATAGATAAATAAAATATTTTTTAAATAATGAAATACAAAGTATATAAAATACAATATAGCAAATATCCAGGTTCCTACTATAAGAACTGATAGTTTACTTTTTCTGTTAAAGATACAAAAACATTATAGCCCAAGCCAATGTGGTTCAGTTGACTGGGTGTCGTCCCACAAACTGAAAGGTCACAGGTTTGACCAGGTACATGCCTGTGCTATGGGTTCGGTCCCCAGTTGAGACATGTATGAAAGGCAACTGATCAACATTTCTCTCTTTCAGTGAGGTTTCTCTCTCTCTTTCTCCCTCCCTTCCCCTCTCTAAAAGTCAATAAGCATGTCCTTGGGTGAGGATTTTTTAAAAAGATATAAAACATTACAAATATAATTTTAATGATCTTTTAAAAACAAGCAAAAATAGCATGTATTGTTTATAGATGCACATATAAAGGCTACAAATAGGTAGGAGGATTATGGGCCAAAATCACCATCTTGGTGGCCTCTGGGGAAAGAGTGAAATAAGAGACTGCAGTCACATTCATACAGATTGTGTGGCACTCTCCTACTGCTTAGGACAATGACAGTCCCTTGGAAACCACAAGGTTTGTGGGAAATTTTCTGGAAGTTTGGCATTTGTTACAATCCTTTGGATCTCGGGGCAGGGGAGGAGCAGTGGTGTGGGCTGTGTGGCCCACGGACAACAGGATGTGTGTGAAACAGTTCGGCAGAGGCTGATGGCCTTAAACACATGTCCTTCTCAAATGCTTTTAGGGATCCAGCTTCCTCCTGGGACATTTTGCTGTCCCCTCAGTACATCATGTGCCCTAGGGCTTTCTTGCTTCTTCATATGCTGACCACTAAGTTTGTCCTGCTCTCCTCTCACAGGAAGAGCCTGTCTCCTAGGAAGATTGCTCAGCTCCCTCTCTTCCAGGACTGAGCTCCTCATCTGAACCCTCCCTGCTTCCCTCAGACACATTCTACCTACAAAATTCTTCTTGTACAACACATATTACACTGTATCATGCATTGTGTGTGCCTTATGTGTGCATGTGCATGAGTACGTGAGAGTTCCTTAAAGCCAAGGATGGTGTTTTACTCACCTCAGCACCTCCAGCTTTCAACATGCCACCTGGTGTGAGTGTTATCAAATGAACTATTCATCTAGAGAATGTGGGATTTGGGTGATTCCAAGCCTCTGTATTTTTACACAATGCTTCTCCATTGACAGGCCCTGGAGCCCACCCCTGCCCAACAGCCTAAGTTTAAAGTCAGTCCTGCTAGGTGGGAGAGCATGACTATCTCAGGCATGCTAGTTCTCTGAATTATGTTTGTTTAATCCTTTATCTCCCCTATCTGTGGAGCCAGTAAAGAAGTGCTCAGAAAAGGTATGAGGACATCAAAATGTCACAAGAGCCAACCTGATGGAGGTCCCAATGGCAAAAGCTGAAATAAATTGAGCAAAAAAAAAAAATGGCAACAGAGAGTCGTCTTTGCTGAAGGTTACATTGAGCTGCATGTGACTTCACCACACATTAATGTTTCTCTCCCTATTTTTAGGAGTTAGCAATGTGGCAGAAGAAATCAAGACCAAAACTCAGAACTACCAGACTGCCCTTCTGACAGCCACTTCCCCAGCCAGAACAAGACCAGAAACTGTTGGCAGAACTTGAACTTGCACCCTGTAAGAAGGCAATGACCATTATCAGGGGTGATGTCTCCATGTGCAACAGGTACCGGCATGTGCGCAAAGACCTTCTGCCCCATGTGATAGGTGTCAGCCTGGGATGACTGCCGGCAGAAGGCTCATTTCCTGGAAAGATCTGAAGGGCCTCCACCCCACCTCTCCTCTGTCCTCCATCCTCTTAGGGAGGTAAAGGGACTTGGGCACATCCCACCATGGGACCCTGGATCATGATTTAATCATATTAAATACTTTGAAAAGTGAAAAAAAATAAATGATTCTATTGAATTCTGGTACACAAAATGAAAGACCATGCATTCATATTGATGTAAAAAATGCAAACCCAGTGAGATAAAGGAATTCATCAGTCTTGCTCCCTACTCACTACTATTTCTCCCTAAGGTCAAACTTAGAACATGACACATAATACATGTTTAATAAATAAAGCCGAATGAAGGATTTGTATTATTATCACCACTTAACAGATGAGGGAATGAAGGCTGCAAGGTTAAACTATGGCTTAAGCAAGTACAGGTAGTAATAGGCAGAGCTGGGTGTCTGTCTTTAAACTAAGCTCTTTTTTACTGTCATCTCTCAAAAGTAAAGCCAAGAACTCAATCAGATTCGTAATTGTTATCTCTCAAAGTGAGCTGAGAGCCAGGACTGACACTTAACAACTTTGTAAGTTCCTAAAACGTTGGTTTTTCATTGTAAGGTATTTTTAAAAACATAATTTACATTTTAGTATGTCACATTTCAACAATCTTTGAGAACCCAAACAGTGAATGTACTTGGTTTAATGACAAAATAATAGCAAATAGAGATATTTTTTGGCCTATCATGTCATTCAGACTTTATTTTTGAAAACTTCAGATAGTCAGAATGTTTTCCCAGTACTACAAATAACTGAATAAATGTTTAAAGTACTTTATTTTAGATCAATTTAATGACAATATTTTGCAGCAGTTCCAATACTTCATACCTTGTTGTTCAGAGTCAGCTTTACTCCAACTGCATATACATCTTCAGTCTTCAACTGAGAAGCTTACTACCTGCCTCTCAATTATTGGTTTATAAATGTGGTACGTGAGTGCCAGTGAACTTTTCAAAATTCATGTCAGTATTGTACATTAAATGCCAAGCTTAATGATGAAATAAATAGTTACTGAGATGTTCTATGACAGCAATTTTCAAACTTTTTCATCTCATGGAATACATAAACTACTAAAATTCTGTGGCACATCAAAAATGATTTTTGCTGATTTGATAAAAAATAAGTATTATTTTGATTCATTCATACCAAATGGCTACTGTTGTGTTGGGTATTGCCATTTTTAAATTTGATAGTCTAAGAGAAAAGAAGTCAGTGCTCCTGACTAAAGAGTCAGGTATTGCAAGTCTTAAAAATTCCTTGGCTCACTGGTTGAACATTACTGTTTTATGACATATCCCAGTTTCCTGTCTATTTGAAGTGCATTCAGTTCTGTGGAATGAGTTGTGATCTCTTGGATTATGTTTCTTTAAGAACTATTGTTGGAAAAATGAGGACAGAGATTTGGTTCCTAATTTCAGGCTCCCCGGGCTGGCATAAGCTGGAATTGCTTCAAAGCTACCAATTCCTTCTGTGACCATTTAACCAGAATTCTCTGCTAAGTGATTAGAAGTCACCAAAGGAGAATGGAATGAGCCAATCTCTTCCTGTTCCTCTAAGAACACTCAACAGTCTCCTAAGCTGTGTCAGGTACTATTTGGGTGCTGTGGAAATAGCCATGACCAGACAAGGAAGGCCTCAGCTCTCCTGGGGCCAGTGTCTCCACCAGACACCACCAGGAGGTGGTGATTAAAATGAAATTGAGCTTGTGATTGTGAACTTGTGATTACAAAATGCAGAGGTAGATTGCATGGAGAAGCAGTTGATTTCAGGATAGAATCAGGGAAAATACCAAATGAACCTGAAACTTGTGGGGCTGGAAATAAGGAAGTATTTGAAAATGAAAGGAACATGTCAAGAGGACACAGAGATGACCTGAAGGAGTTCCCCATGGCCAGAACTGGAATAAATTGCTCTACAAAATTCATGGATTGTAATCCATAAATTAAAAGTATTAGAGTCTAATCCTTGGAATAAAATAAATATTCACGAATGCATAGTGATTTAAATAAACAAATAAATAAATGACAGAGAAGGGGCAGCTCACCCTTACAGAAGAATTCAAGTTAAATGCGGAAGGAATAAGGAAAAGCAAAATCACCAACAAGCAAAAAGTATAGTAATAATGGTTGTAGACAAGGTCCACTGATGGATATGTAAATCACTGGGCTAAGCTTTGAGAAGAAACAGGACATTTTCATAGTATCAACTTGTCCCTCCCAAGAAATTGATCAGTTATAAAAGGAAAAATAGTAACTTTACAGTATAAACTCTGCAGCCACCTCAACAAAGTGATTAAAGTAACATCACCAAGAAGAAGTCCTATGGGAAGAGGATGCAGTATCATTTTTGTGGGATTCCTGACAAAATTCATCATCTCAATGTAATCAGAGATGAGAAAATAGTCTGATCCAAATTTTGAGACATTCTACAAAGTAACTATCAAGAAATACCAAGAACATGAAAGACAAAGAAGGAAAAACTGAGAAAACATCAAAAACATAAGGGTTGGAGTAAAGAGATGCTGTTAAGCCCTGGCGGGAGTTGTGTGTCATCTGGAAAACTTAGAGCCAAGGAGTATATGCCTCTGAGGTCTGCAGGGGGAAAATGAAGTGTGAGGGAAAAAGCAACTGGATCTGACCAATGTCAGTGGGCAGTTAGGACCATGCAAACTCAAATTTCTTGTTTTTCTCAACAGCAGGTTTAAAAATTAACCTAGTTTGAAAAATTGCCTTAAATCTCTATTTCATTTTACCTGTCTTTGTGCAGAGCATTAAGTCCTGTGAAAACGATAAAGATGACAAAGAAATAGAAAGAGTGACCCTTAGAACTTATTAAGGGGGTAGGATATTACAAGAGAAATATACAAATTAAAGATTAAAAACATGTCCATCATACATGGATAAAGAAAATGGGGTATATACATGCAATGCAATACAATTCAGCATTTTAAAAAGAAGGAAATCCTGCCATTTTCAACAGCATGAGTGGACCTGGAGGACATCATGCTAAGTGAGGTAAGCCAGATACAGAAAAAAACATGTCTTACTTATACGTAGAATCTAAAATAGTCTAACTCATAGAAGCAAAGAGTAGAATGGTAATTTCCAGGGCCTGGGGTTGGGGAGAAAGAGGAAAGTGATGGTCAAAGGGTACAAAGTTTCAGTTACACAGAATGAAAATTTCCAGATCCACTGTACAATGTGTTGCTTATAGCTAACAATACTGTATTGTATTATTTAAATTTTGCTAAGAGGATGGATAGTATGGTAAGTGTTCTTACCAGAAAATAATAACAATAAAAGGGATGGGAGGGAATTTGGGGAGGTGGTAGATATTTACAGCCCTGATATTGGCCATGGTTTCAGAGATGTACACTCTTCTCCCCAAACTTGAGTTGTGTATGTTAAACATGTACTGCTTTTCCATGTCAATCATACCTCAATAAAATAGATTAAATATTAAATAAATCAATGATTAGTTTATAAAACCATGTCCATAGATATTACATGTATTCTGAGATATAACCTTGTGCTAAGAAAAGGGGCAGCCCATTAAAGGTGAGTGGGACAGACAAGATCAGTTTAGAAAGAGGAAGTTGAAAGCTGTGGTTGAATGGTTGAATTAGGGCTGCAAAGAGAGTATTCTGGGATGAAGAGAGACCTGCCTTTTTCTGCTAAAGAAAGAGCACATGAATCATTAGGAGATGAAAGTATGTATGGTAGAGGTGAAAGGCAGCAAACTGGTTAATTTTTTTTGTTGAAGAAGGCAACGTAGGCTACTGGGCGCAAGATTATGAGGGTAATTGGCACCATGGAGATAAATATCTTTGAAGTATTTGGTCATATAATCAAGGTTGATTCAGGAGCATTGTGAAGCCTGGAGACTGAGTAGGAGGAGAGGGGTTCAGTTAGATTCCCAATGGATCATGAAAGCTCTGAACAAGGGTGCAGCACGTCCCTGAACACCAGACTGAGAAGGGTGCTGTGGAGAAGGGAGATGGTCAGCCCCTGCAGAGGAGCTGAGAGGCCCAGAGGCTCAGAAAAGGAATGAGGCCTTTGGATTTTTGCCAGAAGAATGTCATTGGTGGTTTTAATAAAAGTAGTTCCTCTGGGGTAAAGACCAGAGAACTAGAGCTGTTCAACTGAAAATTTATTGAAGGCAGGAAACATGCTCTAATATATCTTTGTATTTCCCTGAAATACCTAGCCCAGAATATCATCTTTGAATTTTGACAGTAGAGTTCTGTTTCCCTGCAAAGACCTTCAACCCAATCCAGAAAAAGGCACCAATGTGAAAATAAGAGTAATTTACATTAAAGACATATTTAATGGATACATTTTAAAGTAAGAAGGAAGAAAATGGAGGGCTGGCATAGATGAGGGATTGAGTAAAAGTGACAGTCAAGAGATATTGTCATAGTATTTAACATAAATCAACAAGTTGATCTTAATGTATGCTAATTTTCTGTTCTTAGCAGAGATGTTTAATGTATTTGATTGTATTTTATCCCTAAAAATATATGAACAGAAAGAAAGTGGGAATAGGATTAATATATATAAATAATGTGTGACCTCAGCACATTCACTGGGGCTTTCCCTAACTCGTGTGTTTTTCTTAGGTAAGATTGCATCATGCATACAATTTCGCATCCTGCTCTTTTCCCTTAACTCCATAAGAATTTCCACCCAATTAAGAAAAATTTTCATAAATATAATTTCCCAACTGTGTGAATGTACTAAGGTGTATTTAACTCTTCCTTAAAGGTTAGGTATTTAAATTAATTCAAGTTTTACAATAATGAATGCTGAGATTAACATTTTTGTAGAAGTGTCCAATTGCTTTATGAAAGGGTGTGTTCATTCCAGCCATGCAATTGTTATCTCATGTGGTCTCAGTTACATGGATGTGAATTTGCTTTCTCCACTTGTTATTCACTCATTTATTCATTTATTTGAAAAACATTTATCGAACATCCAATTTGTGCACATACAATTCTAGACGTTGGCGATACAGTGAGACAAAGTATCAAAGCCCCTGCCCTCATGGAGCTCACACTCCGTGAGCAGAAATGAACCATTAACAATGCCAATAAGTAACAAGTAGACCGTGAAGAGCTAAGAAGTGCTCTGGGGAAGATTAAGGCAAGTATGAGTATGTGAGTGTCCAAGGCAGAGAGGGTCCCCCTGCATGGTATCTTTGAATAAAGGCCCGAAGGAGAGGAGGGAGCAAGCACAGAAGGCAAAGAGCCTTCCAGACAGAGGGGTTGTTAATGAGACTGGACATGGTTTTCAATATTGATCATATTGAGCTCATTTTATAATGAAGCATTCAGTGCAGGGCTGTCCTCACTGCCCAGCTCATTCTATTGACATCAGGTACCTCTAATGACCCCCTCAATGTCAATCTGTTCATCTCTGAAATAAAATAATGTCTGCTTCATTATTCCACAAGGTTATGGTAAAAAAATGACTGAGGGATAAATGAAGAAAGTCCCACTTAGCAAGCCGCAGACCAGATGTTAGGTTGGCCCCTCCGCAGCTTACCACTGAACATGAATCCAAAGCAGCATTTTGTGGAGACATCTGTTTTCCTCCACAGTCCTCAGCTGGAGGAACAGGCCCTTGACTGAATATGTCGCCACCAGGTTCCCACCTCCAGTGAGGAGCAGAACAACTTCATGTTTCAAAAACAATTTGGGAAAATAATCCTCCAAAAAGTTGCCATATTCATAGGAAGCCCCCAACATTTATTTCCTCCTTTGCATGCATACGCCTGCACACTGGCTGCACCCAGTGTGTGTGCTCCAGGCTCTGACAGATATAGCACAGCGTGACATTTCCTCCCAGGGCAAAGGGACATGCAGTGACCTCAAAGGAAGTTACCTGGGTTGTTCCCACTCAGGACCACTCCAAAGCCATGCCGAATGAAACCTCTTGGAGGGAAGTGATCAGCATCCATGGTCAGAAGAAACCTAGTTCCTCCTGACCTCCCCCTGCCCCCATCTCTACAAGTTTGGGTCAGACAAATAGAGAAGCCTGATGTTAACCACAATATCCACTGTGTTGAAGACAGTTAACAAATCCTCTGCTACTTCTGTGTCTGCCAATGGGTCCTATAGGTGCACATCTAGCCTGATCTCCTAACTAAGCTGCTTCCAATGTAAGAACCAAACGCATTTAACAGGGCAGTCAGACCAAATATCCCTCTGGTATCTTCGGCCCAAGTTTCCAAGTCAGATTTATTACCCTCCATCCTAAATATCACTCCTCATCTTCATTTTCTATCCCTGGCTCTTGGCACAGTTGCTGTCCCCCTGCCTTGCCACACTCAGCATCACCTTATCTTTTCACCTGCCCTTTCCTGCACATCTAACTCATGTTGCACTTACTGCAAAGTTTGCCATCCTAAAACTCAAGTTGGGTTCTGTCACTTCCTGCTCCAAAACTAGTAATGTGCCTCCCCAATACCCTCCTCTAGTCCCTCTGTGTTGTTCACAGTGTGTGGTCCTCAACCCCCTGAATAAAAATCTCCCACTCTCTGATGGAAATGCAGATTCTGAGTCCACTGACTGAGTCTGAATCTCTGGGATCACAGTGATGTTGAAGAACTAATGTCCAGTAAAGTACAAGTCCCTTAGTTTGTATGGAGGCCCTCCATGGGCTTCAAGCCTTTATACCATGAGTCCCCAACTCCACCCCAGACTATACTTTCTACCAATATCCCACTGTCACATTTCAGGACTCTGGCCACCCTGGTGTCAGCCTAGATACTGAAACCTGTTTAGGTCAAATGCCATCTTCATAATACTTTCTGTAGTTCCCTCAAATGCACTCCCTTTTTTCATTTGTCATGATCATATTTCATTCTGCTTCTGTTTCCTCCCATGGATGAGTGGCACATGCTCAGTCCAGGCTCATAACCATGGTGTCCCCTTTGTGGTGAGCTGCATGGCATGGCTACCCTTGTGTCTTCTGTGGTATCTCGTGCTGTACCTCACAAATGTTGCTGATCTAAAATAAATCACAGACTCTCAGAAGAAAATCATGCTTCGTTGGGACTCAGGATGTAATTCCAGTTTGAAACTAGTGTGAGAGAAATGTCATGTGCTCGCTGTCAATTTCAAAGCTCTGCTTCAGGGAGCCCTGCCTCCCCAAAGAGAGGGGCCCAGCAGCAGAACATCTTCTTGCCCTAAACAGTTCACAGAGCCACACAGAGCCACCAGAGAGGGGACTCAGAAAACACAGTGAAATATTAACTGCCACGTGGGGAGGACAATCCATGGCACCTTGAAGAGAGAAGAGATAGTGCAGTGGGAGTACAGGATACATTGTGCCCCCCCAAATCACATAAGATTGTCCAGTGGGTTCCACATGTGCTTATATCTGAGAGACATGGTCACACGATGGGGTTCACAACCCCTGGAAAAGTGAATGCTTCCTATAGTTACACTGTTGCCTACTGAGACATCTTTCTCAATCAGACAAATGGAAAAGTGAACAGAAATTGCTCTCTCTCATAGTTAGGAGAGCTACGAAGTTGGGGGTGGGGTGGGGAGAAGAGGCCTTCCCAGAGATCATGGAACCTCACTGCAAAAGATTAGGGAGCCGTGTGTGTACAAAACCAATGGCAAGAAGAGTGCCAAAATTACTGAGATCTGTACAGAATAATTCAATATTTCAAAAATAGACTTTTTCAGAAAATTATTCAATATGCTAATGCAAAAAAAAACAGTACCCACTAAATATATACTCATCAACTAGGTGTTTTAGCATGGGATTCAAAATGAACACATCCTGCAACTTAACTTTGCTGATAAACACTGAACTTGATTTTCAAAAGGAAGGAACATTGAAGGAATCAAGGAAATTTTATGGGAGAAAATTAGAAATATTGATTTTTAATTTATAAAGATAAAGGCACAGAAGAACATATAGGAGGCTTTTCATTACAAACACTACAAAAAGAAGCCAAGAAGTAGTAAAATTTACTCAAGAAAGGGATGGCATATTAATTTCTAAGATAAAAAGTTCATTCAAATCACAAATTGGCAAAATGCAACCTCTCCAAAATTCTGTGTAAGTCACCAGAATATGCTCAAGTGCAACCTGTAAGAATTCATTTATGGACTGTGACTCCCTTGTCGGGGACTATAGAATGACACATCAATTGTTCAAGATAAAAGCAAAATATGTCTGCCAAAGAACTTAATTAAAATATGCAATAGTACAGCCCCTGAGGCCACATTTTCTATATAAGTGGGTTCCTTTTTATTCTTGACATAGAACCTAATTCAGTGACAGAAACAGACAAATCCATAAGTTTATTCACTGCCTACTGGCTTTACATGATGATTTTGCAAAAAGTCGAAAAGAAAAGGCAAAATGTTTAGAAAAGAAAGAGAATTTCTGAAAGGAGTTTC